CTGGCTAGTGATTATGCAGTTTTTACATCCTGATCACTAAAATTAGAGTTCATTTAGGGAATCCTTCAAAATAAGTGCCTCGAATGTGCCATTTCAAGATGGCTGCCAATAGTAGCAAGCGTGCAGAAAGGCTCTAATTATTGTTTAAGAGTTGCTCCATATTTCATCAGGTTTTTGAACCAATCGCTTACTGCTACGCGCAAAATCTGAGGACACGCAGGCCTAGATCTTAGCTAAAGGCAAACTACACGTGCAGATTGTGTTCATAGCTGAATCACCGTGGCTTGTTTTGCTTCATATTTGATGTTTGAGGCGTTCAAAGTCTTTTTTAAGGTCCGAGCGTGTACTTACAGTTTTGATGACTCTTGGTGACACTGTCTGAGTCCAAGGCGTGGTAGAAGTCGTAGATGGAACGACCCAGCAGATCCTCGGGAGTGTAACCCATCAACTCTGTTACCCTGGACCACAGACACAGACATACACATCTAATAAGACACGGGCTTTTACTTATTATTTGAACTTTTCTCACATGTACGACTCAAAACACAAATCCTGCACTTCATCCTGAACTTCAAAAGACATCATGTGCCATTTGGAAATCAACCTGAGAGGTGGATAGATTTCCAAAAATAAGAATTGCTCGTTCTGTCTCCAACCTCCCGGTGCTTCTGGGAACAGCTAATCTCTCGTCTCTCATCTCAAGTTCACGTTGTTAATCAGGATTTTGTTGCTGGCTTTCAATAACCACGTTGATAAAACTCCCTTTTATTTCTCCTCAACTCTTTCGCCTGTAAGTAGAGGTTTTGAGACTAAATAACAGGATTACTGTAATCTGATTACAGGTGCACTAATTTAAATGAAGTTTTTGAGTGCTGAAAATAATTACATACTTAGCTTCAGGCTGTTTTGACAGCAAATACACTTATTTATATACGTTATTAACTTTAGTTTAATTTTGACTTCACTGAGAAGCCAACAATTAGGCTAAGGGTCAAAAGCAGAGCCTCTTCCAAACAAACTGTGCTGTGAGAACATGATTCAAACCTACAACAGGAAATGGGCCCCTGAAAACAAGGTTTTATCAGGATAAGGAGACCGGGGAGGGTAAACTGGGACCGAGAATGAAGATAAGTTGTACTTAACCCAAATTAAAGTGCTAGGAATGTGATTTTATTTAACTCCAACTGCCACCAAAATGTTTCACTCTGGCATGAGGATAAACTCCATCACCTTGGATAAGCAAGCTGCTGACTGAGTGGATGTGACTCAGAGTTTAGGGATAGGAAACACTGCAGCACCGTTTTATCCTATTTGTACCTCTGATCATCACACTCAACATTTTTTGATGTCAAATCAGTTAAAATACAGTTTTCATCATCTATATTGCCCTTTGGATAGCTTTGGAGGTGTGAAGCCAAAGTTTCATTGAGATGAACAGTCAGCGGATGATGCGGTGGA